GGTAGCGCTGCACTGCCCCCTGTGCAGAGCGCCTCTGGGCCGGGCTCCCCCTGCCTCCCGCCTAGCCCGGCTCCAGCAACCGCGCGCCCCGCAGTCCTGGCCCGGCCCTGAGGCACCCCCAGCTCCGCGCGGGGCCTTACCCAGTGCCTCCGTCCACCACTCACATGGGCAGGGCACGGGCCATGCTGCAGCTCCCCCAACCACGTGCCAGGGGCAAGGAGCGGAGACAGAGGAGAAGTTGTAGGCGCTGCCCAGCTCGTCCAGTCAGGCGCAGCTGGGGCAGCCCTGCGCCGCACAGCCCTTGGGGCAGCTGCAGTGGGACCTGGCTCATGCGATGAGCCTGGCCCTGTGGGGGTAAGCAGCTCCACTCCCCTTGCTGCCGGCTGGGGCCCGCGGGCCGGTCCTGCCTGCCTCGCCTCGCTGCTGCCCCACTGCTGTAGAGCGTGGAGCAGGTGCCAGGACTCCCCGCCTGTCCTGAGCAAGGGACCTCGGGCCAGAGAAAATGGCTTGGCGAGCCACATGTTGGACAAGCTTGGCTTATAACAACCAACTGGTTGTGCTTGCAGGCCCTGCAAACACATGGTTGCCAAAAATAGTTCTTCACTCAGACATATAGATTCAAATGAAAAGGCATCACGTTGATTAATAAAAGAACTGCTATAGCAAAGGTGAAGAGTCTAAGGTAAGTACATATATAGAGGAAGCAAGAACTGCTTAGGGAATGCAGGGAAATAAGTCCAGGTAAGTTTTAAATAGTGTGGCTCCTGGCACTGAAGCTGTGAAGTGCTATTTATTCATGTACCAGCAAGGGTAGAGTTACAAGAATTTGATAAATTCACTTAATTATTTTTCATCCCTGAGCTTTGAAACAACTTCCAATAGTTTTAATAAATCAAAGGTTTCACTATTATAATTTTATTATAGAAACCCTAATGGGCTTGATTGTGTACAAATATACATAGCCTAGTAGAAAATGTGTGATTTGAAAACAAAAGTGGTGCCAAGGAACCTGGAAGAGGAAAAAGGGTAACAATTAAAAACCATATTTACCTGAATCCAAGAGGGTATCAAATTTAAGATGCCCCCCAATATTTAATTCTATATATGGAAAAAGTTACAGATGCATTATGATTTCCCATGTCCAGAATTTAATTATCAGACAGTTGTCTTAAATTCACACCCCCTCCCTGCAACGCCACTGCTGTAACAAGAAGTGGCAGATGATCAGGTGGCAAAGGGAGGACAGGAAGCCTGATCTTTGTCCCCTGTCCTTCCCCCAGTGCCTGCATCCCCTTATAACTTGTCCCCCAGGGTGCATGTGCCCCTAGCACAGGCCTGCTGGAGCTGCTGCTGCTAGTGCCTATCCAGGCAGGGGCCAGTCACCGTGTTCTCTGTGCCCAAGGCCAGAGTACGGCCACAGTTGCAACTAGGGGCAAGTGACTGGGGGGGAAGCAAGTGGCAGGGGGAAAACAGCTGCAGCTGCAACCCTGACCCCAGCCTCAAGCCTGGGTTAGGGCCAGGGTTGGAGCTGCAGTAACAGCCTGCCCCTCTGCCTTGTACTCAAACCCAAGACAAGACCCACCCCCCACATTTAATGGGGGGGAAAAAAGCCTTGTGATGGGTTTGAGTAAATATGGTATATTCCTTAGTATAGCACATGATACGTCTCAAAAACAGTCTCATGTGCCCTTCTCTGTTTCCATAAGAAGGAAAGCTGGCTTGAATGTGGGATCAAGATAACAGATACTAGCACATGTGTGCATTTTCCTCTGCCTGTCCAGTTTTAGAGCTCTTGTACTCTGTAACAACTTACACAAGTTTGATACATTTCACCCAAGAACAAACACTGCACTAGGTCTAGCTCCAGTACTTCTCCATCAGGTGTCTACACCAGATGTTGAAGAGTGGCCTTCAGAAATCAATGTCTAACATTGCTACTGCCTCCTTTTCTAACAAAGTATAGCTGCTGCAGTTGGCAGTTATTACAGCTACAGCTCAAAGCTTCTTCCTGTCATTACTCACAAGCCCAGGTAAAAATATTTAGATGGGTAGTCATCCCTCTTTTGTGTCATAGTAATTCTGTTCAAGGGCTAATTATATTTCCAAATAAACAGCTGAATTATCTAGTCTTTTGACATGACTTAGTTTATTGATAACATATTACTAAACATGTCAAGAATGTTACCACCATGTTGTTTTTTTAAATGCTTATGTGAGGTTTTCATACACAATGCAGTTTCACTTATCTGAATTAAATGAGGACCAAAACTGGTTCATTTAAAAAAAAAATTAATATGCACTTCATTACCCAAGCAATTAGATGAATATACTCCAGCTTCACACTCCTAAGCAAATTTGGTAACAGATTTGCCATGTTTGAAAATTTGCTGATCATTTCAATTGTTTTTCCATAATTGTTAAGACAGTTCTTTCCTCTTGCTTTTAGTCACCATTGCTGCCACTTGCACCACAAACCATGTAGGCTGGCAACACATCCAATTTTCTGAACGGTTCAGAAAATTGAAGCTCTGCTGTATTATATTTTCAGCTAAGATGTAAAAGCATAATTATTTAGCAGTGGGGATTTTTAGAGATCCCATATCACTACTAGGGCAGATACAAAAAATCTGCATGTCCTTAAAACAGGAAAGCAATTTTATTTGTTACATTTTGTATGCTCAAATTCTCCCGTAGATTCAGCTAAATAGATCATTTTACTTTCACCTGAAAAAAAAATCATACTTTGTAGAATGCCTGATGCACTTCCACTCCAGAAGCAACCACAATTCAGCTATGGAACAGGGATTTCCCTAAACAGTTTTAAGCACTTTTCACATGAAAGGCCTTCTCTCTGGAACTACTGTAATGTAGAGCTATTACACAACTATTATCTAGTGACGTTGGCATTAGCAAGCTAAAGGGAGGAAACGGGAAGGATATAAATATAATTTTGCATTCCTTTCTACTTCACTTGCATCAGAGAAAATTGCCAATGTCCACAGAGCTGGAACAAAATCTCTGAGCTGCCACTCCAGTGGCCATCCTAAATTATGATATGCCTGCATTTTATGATCTGTTCTTTTAGAGGCTTAAGAACTGACAGAAGATGAAAATACACTCAGGGCCAAATCTGCAAAAGGTATTTAGGCATTTAACTTCCACTGATTTCACAACTGTAACTGTATTATAATTTGTATCATTTCAGCAGGACTAAGGTGCTTAAATACCTTTGTGGACCTGGATCTCAATGTCTTTCTTCCTTTCCTCTTTTTCACATCTAACATCAGACAGATTTTTATCTTAGCATAAACATAGCTGAGACTTCAAAATGTCATTCAGAAAAAATGTAAAGGAACATGTGAAATAAATCAACTATTTTTACAGTTTTTTTTCTGATTAGACATAATCCTCCCCCCCACCTCAAGAAAAAAGCAGAAAGAAAAGGAAAAAGCAAACAATGTATCACACAACAGAAAGGAAGTTTCTGGGGTAGGGGAGATAATAAGTAGCGGTAAGCATTCCACATGCCATCTAAACTAACAACAGTTAATGCTACTGATATAAGGTTCTCTCAAACTGTTTATAATTCTGTGACAAGTAAGATTTCATTCTCTTCTCAAAATATTTTGCAAGAAAATCCTCAAGAACGAAAGTATACTTGAAACTGTCTTATAATCAGTCCATCCTCAAAATGTGCGACACCTGGTAAAATCACCTTAAATAACATATAAAAAGCAAAATAAAACAGTGATCCACGTTAATACTGAAGGACACAAGAAAAAACTGCCTAAGCACAATATGGATGTGTCAGTAATACAGCTCTAAAATGGGCTTCTTTGTCTATGAATTCCTTTACACAGTTGCTGGGTGCAGAAAGTATCAGACTGTCTTTTTAAGAGATCTTAAATTTTAAGCCAGACATCGTCAAATTTAAGCACTCTACAATGAAGGGGGCAGGGCTGGTGGTGGGTGAGGGTGGAATGAAGGGGGTAGGGCTGGCAGTGGAGGAAGAGGAAAGGAAAAGCAAAAGAGATGGACAGAGAGAACATGGACAGAAGCCTGCAAAGACAAATAAACCAGAACCGCATGACATTTTGCATATAAAAGCATGATATCAGCACAAATTTACTTTGCACAGCACTTTGCATAGCACCTTTCAGGCCTTAAAAAAAACCAAACATGAAAATTCACTGACATTACAGACGCAAGGGGCCTATTTAAAGAGTCCAGCTCCTATCTCCTGCTCCCCCCTCCCCCACACACTTAACCAGTGCAGGATCAAATCCTTACAGCAGCGAACAGACGGATCGAATTCATACAGAATAGATTTGAAACGACACTCCCATTGCATGGGAGGAGGGGATGGGGACACGGGGGAGAACAGGGACAATCCCCAGTTTCAGCAAATGTCACCGCTAACAACCTTCAACAAATTTCACTCACTTTCCTGGTGACAACATAAGGGACCAGATAGGCAATTCACTTCTTTGCACCCTTCAGAGGGCATTTCACCCCCTGCCCCTCCCCCCTGTCACACCCTTGTGTCTCAGCAACACCAGAGCTACGTAGCAACCCGAACCCCAGCCTCTCGGTTCATCCATCTCCCCACACCCCCTCCAGCTCATCTCCATCTTTGGAGAATCAGGAGCTGGGGAACCATATTCTACCCCATCCCCCACCCCCCCAATCCCTCCATCTCTGAACAACGCCATGCAGATCGCTCCTCACCCGCAGCCCAGCCCCAAATCACTGCCTCACGCCCCCTTTCCCCCCTAGCAGCCCCTCATATCCCTCCCTCCTCACTCAGCTGCTGCTCAGGGGCCTGCACCCCAGCCCCGCCCCCGGGGGACGCAGATGCCCACCCCTGAGGGGAGCATCCAGCCTGCCTGGCACCAGCCCCACCATTTGGGGTGGGGGGTGGGGACCCCCCCGCCTCACCAACCTGGGGGCCACAATACAGGGCTAGGGGCCTCTGAGGGCGGCCCAGGCCCGGCACCCACCTTGAGAGTAGGATACTCCTGCACCTTCAAAGTCATTGAGAGCTGAGCAGCTGATTCCTGCACCGCCATCTTGGATTGGGCACCCGCCGCCTCCTCCCCCCCGCCCGCGCGGAGCGACCTACCGCGCGCGGGGCATGATGGGCCAGCAAAGACTTCCTTTCGCCCCGCCCCTCTCCTCCCTAAGGGGGATGGCCTGAACCACCGCCTGCTCCCGGCCCCCCCCTCCAACAGCCTCATGGTACGCTCCACTAGAACACTTGGTAGCAAGGGAGAACCTTCCACCAATCATCGAGCCCCTTCCGCCGGAGAAGTGGCCCACTGTCAAAGGGCAGCGGATTGGAGAAGGGAGGAGAAAGGGCCAAAACTGCCTGGCAAATGAAAGAGATCAACGCGCGCTCACGGGCGGGCCTCGCTGACGTGACGGACACGTCGCCACCCAATCCTTGAACAGCGTCTGGCCTCCAAGCCAATCAGAACCGCCCCTCTCCTCAGGGGGCGGGCCCGAAAAGTAAATTTTTCTGGCTACCGTTTTAATGACCCCCCAAGGTGTCCGTGGTGGGAGGGCGGGTCAGAGGTGGGAGCCTGGCGGAGGGGGGGCGGGCGTGCACTTTGAGTGACACGCCTCCTGACCAATGCTTGGACAGAGCTCGCTGATGAGCACAGCGCGGAGCCAATGGGAGCTCAGCGTGGCGCGTGGAGGGGGGCGGGTGAAGTCGCCGCGGCCGCTGGCCGGAGCGGGGCTGTGCGGGTGGAGGGGGGGAGGGGGCCGGTGCCCAGTAAGTTCCGCGGGGAGGAGAGAGGGAGTGAGGCGTGAGGCGTGAGGCGGCGGGAAGAGGTTTAAATAGCGGAGACAGAGTGAGTCCCCGACCCCCGGCTCCTCCGCCCCGGGACACCTGTGGCTACCTCTGTGCGCGAGCGGGCTGGGGGGGCCCGGGCGGCCTGCCAGCGGGGCAGGCCGGGGCAGGGCTCCCCGAGGCGGCGGCGGCTCCTCCACAGGGCCTGGGTTTGCCTGGGGAGGGAGGAGCAAAAAAAAAAATAAAAAAAGGCACCCTGCAGGCCTCTGGCTGGATTGTGCCGGGGCCCTGGGGGCCGGATCGGGCCCATCCCTAGGCTGACAGGTTGAGCACCACTGGACTAGCCAAATCTGAAGCACCTAAACTCAGCTTGCAAAAGTTTGCGCGTCCCCTGTGCTGAGTCGAGAGCAGCTTGTCGCGACCCAAAAGCGGGGCGCAAGTATAGACTAACAAACTTTAAAAACGGATCAGCAGACTTTTTTTTATTTTTTTAATTTTAAGTGGGTTCTTTCAAGGAGGAAAACATGGGGAAACAGAGGCTTTTCCTGTGCAGGGTGGCAAGGGGCCCCTTGTGCACCCCCCTGCCCCACGTGCTGCGGTGCTGGAGCGAGGGCCACTGGGTTGGGATGGGCTGTTGGTGTTTACAGATGGGTCCTGGGACCCAAAAAAGGTTGAGAACTGCTGGTGTAGAGCGGGTTGTCAGCTGGGGGTACGTGTCCCCCATGGGTTACTCTAAAAGGTCCCGGGGGCATGCAGGGATGGGTGGGGAGGGAGCACTGCCACCCCGACTGGGGTAGTATGATCCCAGCACTTGTTCCTGCTGGGGGCAGGACTTGACAATCTGTTCAGGTCCCTTCCAACCCTAGAAACTATGAAACCCCATGCCGCTGCCTCAGGAGCAGGGCTGGGGCGGAAGGAGAGCAGGCCCCTGCTCTGTCTGACTGCTTGACACCCCCCGCACTCTGCATCCGGCCACTCACCAGCCCTGCTGGGGGTACACTTATTAAACAAGGTGCTGCTGAAGGTACACATATTAGAAAAGGCTGAAAATCCCTGGTCTAGAAGGTGTATCTCTAGCCTGCCTTCTGCGTGACTTCAGACTAGCACCTGCAAAGTTTGTTTAAAAACATGACCTGTGCTTAAACCTAGTGCGGAGGCTAGAATTTGACCACAACCAGCTGACCTGTTTCTAAATGTGATTTGTCCTGTTGGCATCAGGAGCAAAGTCTGTGTTTAAAATTTGTTATTAGTTAAAAAAACGTAGTCGTGAGCTGTACCTGTAGTTTTGTGTTCAGCTGCCTTGTTTTCCTTGTCTACATAAGAGCTAAGAACAAGATCCTACAACTGGATTTATTTGGGTTGAAGTCAATTGACTTGATTGAGGCTCCATGGGGTTTGCTTGGGCTGTTCAGCTTTGAGGGCTGGAGTCTTAATTGGGTGAATGGTATGCTACAAATCTTTGTATCACTGTGTTTCCCTATTATATTCTCTTGCATGCATACAACTTGCAAGATATGTTTTAAGGGGCAATTAAATAGGCATGCTGGATTACATACATGTACTAGTCATGCTAATGACATGAACTATGAAAATAGCAAAGGATACATTACAACAAAATGTCTGTCGGGCTCAGGTGTGAAATGTGCAGCTATTACCATTAGATATATGCAACCTTATATGTAATGAATTTAGCTATGTATATTTACATATATCCAAGAATCTCAGTTTACCATAGTTTTTGTAACTGATAGGCTTGATAGTTATCTTCAGTATTGTTCCAACTGACACAGCATAATACAAATAGAAAGCAATCAGGTGGATATGGTTATGTGGTCAAAATGAGTCTGTCTTTGACCTGTAGAGCTGTGGGTGAACATTTGTCAGAAATGAGTAGCCAAAGTTGAAGGTATTTGCTTAATGGAACAGATGGCTGAGCCACCATCATGTCACAGAAAACAGCATGTATTCTTAGTTTAACACAAGAGGGAGCATGTCTAATCTTTAACCTTTAAATATTGCAACTTCAGAGAGGCAGCTTTAATTGTTCCATGCCAACTAATTTATGTTCTACGTTGCATGTATAAATATTGATACAGCGTGTGTATGCATTGTTGGCATATTTTCAGTTTAAGGTTGCAGCCATTAGTTTATCATGCAGATATCGATGTAGAAAGTGTGTGGACAAGAACCATGTTAATAATTTAATATCAGAATTCTGGGTGATGTTAAAGAACACTGATCAGTAACTGCCTATTGAAATTAAGAACAGAATAAATAAAAGTATTGTATACATTTGTGTACAGAAATAACATTATGGTTTAAAAGGCTATGGTTTTTGTTTCCAAGTTTCTGCTGCTTAATCCACCCTCCCTGATTTAATTTAAAAGAGTTGAAATGCTTTCCATTTAATTAATAATTCAAAACAGATTAACTTTTTATATACAGTGGCCAATTTTTAAGTTGTATGATCATTTTGTGACACTTATAACAGCCAGGAAATGTAAACTTGGGGTAAATTAAGGTAGGAGTGTATGCCAGATCTTGTTTCTTTTTTCCTGTCCCCTAGTGGTGTGAGAGAGAGAAGAAATGTCAACTTCAATTTTGCATCTTCTGGTTTTGTCCAGTTCAAGTCACAACCTATTAATGTTTATCCTCTTCACATATTTTATTAATAAGAATTAACAATTAGTTGAAATTAAACCCTGCTGACATAATTCTGTAGGCCTACAGAAGGCCCTTACTTGTTTTAAACTTTTTTGTTTTATGTTTTGAAAGAGAGATTAATTTTTGGAGGAAGAAATGCCACATCCAGTGCAAGTGCTTAATTGCTTTGGTTATATGTATAGCAAAGTGTAAATATTGTGTATATTATCTGCTGTAGTAATACAGAAACTTCAGTTGTCTCCTTTGGGCAAGTAATTATATATTGAAAATGTGTATTGATGACCTTTTGCCTTCACTGGCTTAAAATACACCATAAGATCAAATTTTTGGCAAGGTGGAAATTATATGAACAGTGTGAACAGTATTGTATGTAATATACTGGATACATGGACTGTGTTACAATAACTTGCCATTATGAAGTTAGGCATTAATAGTGTGTGTGTGGCAAAGGAGGGACTGGATGGCCTATGCTGATCATGAATGTTTTGTGATGGATGATCAAGCAATCATTTGTTTTTGGAAGCTGAGAAATAATACTTTAAAGAAATAATTACTCTATTTACATTGCTAGTAGAGTGTGTGAATTGAATCTATATGTTGGTAGGAGAAGTTACACATGTATAATCTTTAGTGATACATTTATGTCTGTAATATAATTTTTAATGAGATTAGGATTCTAAAATGAAAAGTAATGTTTTGGAATAAGGGTTTGGTAGGTAGCACAAGGATACCCAAGTGTCTAACTGAGGATATTCGGAGTGTCTGGTGGAGTCTCTGCTGGTGTATGCACTTTTTGATAGCTTGCGAAATAGCAGAACATGTGTTCTAGCTTCCTTGGCCAGCACTGCCTTTGACCTGTCAGGACTTGAATTTGTATATCCTTTTTTTTTTAATACTAGTATCTGGATAGAATTTAATGTTTGTTTTGGGATTGTGGTAGTTGAGCTTGTAACTGTGAACTGTTATGGGTTGGTTAGTTATGCACATATAACATGGTCAGATAAGTGGGCTTATTTACACTAGTTTCTGTGGGGAAATTATCCACACACTAAAAATCATCACCAGTTACATCCTTTACCCTGATTGGTCAAGGACTGAATAGAAGTACAGACTGGCCTTCCCTGTTGCCTCTTAGAACAGCATTGTAAAGCAGCCATTGCAAATCAAACACAAATTCTGTTCACCCTCTTTGCCATGATGAGGAGGACATTTTACTTGCCTTTCAGGAGAACTACTTGCTCCTAGCCAGTGGGGTGAGTTGAATTTAATGAAGCTGCTTTAGAGGTTTAAACTGAGTTACATTGATCTGTGCTGAACTCTCTGTGAATAGACAAGTTAATATCTCCTGGACCATTGAACTGGGATCTTCCAGGACAGCTACAACAACAACAGCAACATAAAATCACTTAAAAGTTATTGAAAAGTTTGTTGTGTATTTATACTACCTAGGTTTTCAAAAAATGATGTTCATGTGTTGTTATTACAGGGCCAGATTCCCACTGTAGACCAAATGCTAGCAAAGATTTCATTTAAAAAAAAGAATATTGATGTTGAAAGAGTGCAAAGTAGGGGTTGTTGAACTGACATAGTGCATAAACTTCTGTGTTCTTGTAACTTTTTGAATGGTTCAGAGAGATGTCTTAAAATGGAACAAGCAGGTGGGGGGG